TTAGAACCGACAGAGTCCCCCTTTTCTGCTCTGGATGCTCAGTGCCATGCAACATTTGAATCCATTTCTTTCTTCCTTGCCTGCCCTAAACCTGGCCGCACAGGGGACCACTATTTTCTTTGAAAAACTTATAAATTGCCCTTACTCTGTCATGCCTTGTCCTCAAGTGTCAAAATGATGGAGACCCAGTCTCACTCTGGTGCCCTGACACCGCAGTCAGGTAGAGCCTATGACTGGGGTCCATGTCATCTGTGGCTTTAAAGCTTATCCATCTCTTCCAGCAGGTGGACTGGGACTTGCTCTTTGGATTATGTTACCCCTCACATACATATAATTTGGGGGCACGACACCTTACCCTTCCCAGGTTGTACCTCCCTTCTTCATTTCGTTTTTCTTAGCGGCCACGGGAGGAACTTCATTGCATGTTTTTCAACAACTCTCTAGCGATACTGCCCAGACTATTGAGAAAACTGCCTGGACTCTTAGCCGACTCCAGTCTCAACTTGACTCTCTGGCAACTGTGGTTTTACAAAATCATAGAGCCCTAGGTCTCCTCACCGCAAGCCTGGGAGGGACCTGTGTCTTTCTAAGGGAAAAATGCTGTTTTAATTACAACCAATCAGGCCAGGTAGAGGAAGAGATCAGAAGTCTATCAGAGCCGGCAGAAAACATCAGAAAACAGGGTGGAGAACTCAGCGGGCAAACGCCCAGTGTCTTACCTTGGTCATCGCCCTCCCTAGGCCCTGCTCTAATTATTCGGTTAGCCCTGATTACCAGGCCATTTTAATTCAAGTACTTTCCCACTTCATTTCAAATCATCTCCAGCAGTTTCAAAATAAGGTTCTGCTGCTACATGGATGGAAGCCTATCCCAGGGTCTGATTACCTAGATTTAGAAAAGATAGAGGGAGACTTCTACTCTGGTAGGCAGGCCCACACCCCTGAACAGCAGGAAGAAGCTATGGAAGTTAGAGACCTCCGTCCACGTTCCCAAGAAGATTCTTGAGTATGAAGTCTCTCTGGGGGGAGGTGAGAGAGGTGGTTAGGCAGGCGTCCTGACCCTGGTTGATTAACAACAAGGGGAAGGAAGTGCCCAGCTGATGAAAAGGCGGGACATTTCTCTTAATACAAAGTAAAAAAAAAAAAAAAAACCCAGTACTTTAGAAAAGTGTTATAGCCAAAAAACCACGTGATGGGAAGTGTATTTATTTGATGGTAAGGCTATTCAGAAAGAAATTGCGCACTGAGACCAATTGCACGCATCTCTAACTGTAAATTCAAACTAAGCATTTGAATCGTTTTTATTCAACCACTGTTAAAAAAGTTAAAAAGTTTAAAAATGTATAACACAATGCCTCTAGGTCTCTATCCTCTAAAACACACAGTGTTAGTGCTCAGCGTCCCGAGATTGGGATGCTAGTGCTCAACAAGCAAGATCATCCACTGAATGGCCCCAGAGGTCTCTGCAGGTTGCCTGGCAACAAGCCACCTGGGCTCAGCATAAGGAGCTGCACGCAGTCTCGACTTTCTACAAGACCTCCAGCTGCTGTCAGCACAGCTCTGCCATCTCCCTGGACAGGTGGAGCTTACGCTCAGATTCTTTCCTCCTGTTTATGAGGTTACTGTCCAGCTGCCCTATAAAAATGCAGAGCAGCAGAGGGAAAGTTTCCAGATGAAGCCAAGGGTAAGGTGTATTCATTTGTGCCCTGGTTTCTGGCTTTTCGTTGGGATAGTGAGAGCTTAGGGGGTGCCCCATGTCTCCTCTTACTTTCTGCTTGTAAGTTTACCTCCCAATTCTGCCTTGTATCTACACCTTATCACAGGCAGTGTGTTCTTTCATCCACATTCCGCAGATGACGCTCAACATGGGGTACATATAGCTGCTTCTGCTTACTGCCATTTTGAAACCGTCGAAGGGGTCAGTTAGGTAATTTCGGGCGTGGGAGACATGGCCCCTGGGGGCAATCACAGGCCACCTGGCTGACCTGGGGTTGTCAGTGACCATGTGGTCAGAGGTTTATGCCCATGGATTGCAGGAACCATAGAGTTGTGGTTCAAACATAAAAGAGAGGTAACAGAAGACAAAGCTGCCCATAATTCGATCCCTTTCTGGAAATTCTTCTGAGTTCTAAGAACAAGAAGGAAGAGACAAAAGAGATCTTTCCTAGGCCACTGTCAGAGGGACTGGATTATCCTAACCACTTAGATCTGAAATCTATTAAAATGCAGTATAGCAACCAGGGTCATTTTGTGGAGAATCAACAGAAGTGTGAGCCAGGCTCCCTTCATCACTACCACTGCTGCCCTGCCATTATTGGGTGGGAGGGAAAAAATAAGACTGAAATGCAAAATTTTGCAAGGTATAGAAGGATTGATGATATTAAAATGGATTCCTTTGGTAGGGAGTGCTTGATTCCTGGAAGAAGGAAGGAGAAGGTGGAGGATGAAGGCAACACAGGGGAAAGACCTGTATGGAGATTCATTCTCTGTCTCTAACTTCCTTTCTTTCTCCCCACTCCCTTGCAGTCTCTGTTTTTCACACCTCCAACCCTCTCTAGCTGCCATTCTCCCATTTCAGAATTGCTATAAATTTCCTAAGCAGAGTGTTTTAATTCTCCATCCTTCATTCCATTTTTATAAATGGATTAAATTACTGTAATACATAAAGGACCAAAGAGTCCAGGTGATTAAGACAAAGTGCAAAGGAATAAACTAAAGAATCTTAAAAATTCCCCTGCGGGGACATAGATAAGAGTTGAGCAAATTGGAAAAGACAAAATATTTCTGTATAAGAAAATTAAAAATGTCAGTTTTACCTAAGATAATTTATGCTACAATTCTGTTTAAAAAAGAAATAGTAACTGGGTATTATTGAGAAATGGGCAAGCTGGTGACCAAGTTCACAGGAAAAAATAAGTAGGTAATGGAGCCAGGCAAGCTCCACCCCAATCCCCTCGAGGGAAACAGAAGAAAGCAGATAAACAGAAGGGTTTCTGTAAGGCTTGGGCTGCACGTGACTCACATCTGTTGTGCTTCATTCAAATTGGCAAGAACAAACCACCCGACCAGACCTAGATGCGCGGGGGCTGGGAACGCTGTGGCTCCCAGTAGCAACACGGGCTAGGGAAGGGGAATGCATTGCCTTGTTTATTTCTTACAGTGACTTCTTATTATGCCTATTTTAGACACCTCCCTGAGCCTTAGGGAGGGTAAGGAACTTTTCCCAATTCCCAATTAGTAATTGTCAGGGCTGGGAATTAAATCGGGCAGCAAAGTATCCCAAAACTAAGCTCTCTTCTCCCCAGCAGGTTGAACTCTAGAGCGGGAAGGGAGCTTAGAGATGACTTGAGTTGCACCCTAGACGGTGAAATGCTCACAGGCTTCTCCCGGACCTCGCCTGGGGTCTCTGCTCAATGACACGTGTTGCCGGCCTGACGAATGGACTGTCAGATTCTCCTCAGGATGAGCAAATGGAGGCCCCAGGCCTCTGAATGATGTGCCCGAGGTCCTCTCCCAGTTAGTGGCAGGATGGGGATGAGCCCTGTGTCAGTTTATCTCTCTGTCATCTAAGCCCCCCTGCCATGGTCCTCTTCTCTTCTCCATGTGAACTCTTCCCACCCATGAAACCCCTCTTATCAGAGGACAAGTCCTTTATTCTTCATGATGAGGGTTAAATGTGACCCATGGCAGTTTTACAAGAAGTAACAGCTTCACAGAAAAGTCTGGCTTCTCACCTTAAGTCCTTCACTTTTACTTATTTATCTTTATTTATTTAGGTTTATTTATTTATATATATTTAGGTTTATTTATATTTTTATTTTACGGAGGTACTGAGGATTGAACCCAGGACCTCCTGCATGCCAAGCATGCACACTGCCACCGAATGATACCCTCTCCCCAACTCACCTCACTTCTGAAGCTTGACCAGCTACGCTTCCTTCTTGATAACCTCTGTTCGAGACAAGAACAAAGTTCTTTCTGGCTCCCCTCCCTCCTGGAATTCAGTTTGGAAATTGCCCTTCCCCCCCTCCAAGCTCCTCACATCTGGGACTGGTTTCTCTCTCCGCTGCTTCTCCCCAAATCTGGACTCAAACTGTCATTTCCTTGCACTCCTAATCTGAGGCCAGATCCACCTTGGGGTTAATTCCAAGTCCCCCCTGCCGAGTAACTAACCCTTGCCATCCCCGGCAGTCACCGGGAAGAATCTGGCCTTGGTCCAGCCTTGGGTCCCATCAGCTCCACAGTGATGACACTTGTACTTCCCTGCACTGCTTAATCCGCTATCAGTAAACTTCTCACCTGTGGCTTATTTGAAACACATCTTACAGACACACACACCCGCTTCCTGTTTATGTGGGTTCGTGCTTACCTGCCCCTGAAGACAGATACAGTTACAACACCCCTACATTCAGAGGGTTAATCATCACACAAGACTGGAAAGCCCGCATCTGTCCTTGGAGCCGACTTCCCTTTTGCCTGTTGGGAATGACTCTCCTGGGGGACAAGAGGGAGTAGGTTGATATCAATTATTTAGATACAAGAATCAAACCAAACCAAACCAAACCAGCTCATAACCTGAGGCATGGAGAACTCTAATTAAAACCTCTTTGAAGAGAATCTTGAGAGGTAATTATCTTGCTAAGTCATCTCCATTTCAGGTGGCCTCTAAAGTAGGAAAATTGTTGTCTGAACTGGCCAACAGCTCTTACATTTCATATGGATGAAAAAAAAGTCATGAGATAAATGAATAAAAATGATTCCTCCAACTCATATGACACTGAAAACAATATCTTTCATTACCAGTAATATTATGTGATGTCTTGAGCCTCTGGAGTTGGACATTAGGTAATATAATTAACAGCGTTTATCTGCATTCACCTCTGTGTACTCAAATCTTATTTCAGAGAAAAATAATGTAAAGCCAATTAATCACAATATAAACAGGCCATAAAGGGTTCTTGATAAACCAGCAACAAACACTATAACTCTTATTGCTCACAGTCACATCTTTAAGCTGAGCCCTGAAAACAAACGGCAGCACTGAAAGGACTAACCTCTGCTAAAGACCCGGGCTCTCTTTCTACCAAAGGTAAGTTTGGGGGCCACATAACAGCCTTGAAGCCAAACCTTTGGATTTCTTCCTGTTCACATCCTAAGCCTCCTGACCCTCATCCCAGGAAGGAAGGGAAAGTCAGATGTTACCCTGGGCAGGAAGCTGGAGTGTGAAGTTCTTCCAAAGGGAGCTGTCAGGGAGGAGGTTCTGTGGTAAGCAGAGAAGATGGAGAAGGCGGAAATCAAAGGAGTTCACCAGGGCTGTGTCCAAGACAAGGTGGACATACCAACAACCTGTCATCTCTCTGGAGACAACCTCTGGGCTGCAGCTCAGGTATAAGGGACCAAGGAGAAGAGGCAGAGAAGCAGGACGTATGAGGGGTCTAGCACACAGCCTGGGAACAGCAGCTGAGGAGGGACAGATCGCATGTGTGGGGCCAGCTTTGAACACAGCAGTCAGAGCACAGTGAAGATGTACTCTACTGGGTACCTTGGAGAGAGATGCAGGAACGGAGGCAGAGCAAACGCTGGCAGTAGGGAGAAGCATCTCAGCTGCGGTAAAATAGTGGGTGGAGAAGCCTTTTATGAAAGAGTGGTGTAGCTGTATTCTTGGGTTTCTAGAAACTCCTTGGATAAGCAAGTGCAGTGGGGTGATGGTTTTCATTCCCATAACTCCCCTTGGTTTCTACCCTCCAGCTAGCATCAGTCAGGTTTTGTTCTTAGGGCAGAGTTGTCACAGTGAAGGGCAAATGGCAAGTAAAAACCTACACATTTCTTGGGTTTTGGATCTCCAAATGGACTTCTACATTTCCAGTTGGGAGCAAACTCAACTTCCGAGTACCAAAGCCAAATAGGTACTATTTGGGTACCCATACACAAAGGCTCGGGAAGGAAGCCTGATGCTGTAACAGGCGGTCCTCCTGTCCTAAGCCTGGTCAAGGGTGAGAGTTGGGGAGGAAGATGCGAGTCAAGGTGCTGGCATGTGGCCCTGTGCTCTTGCCCTGCCCCTCCTGTCTGGGGGCTGAGTCTAGGGGAAACACCGTTTGATGGCTATGAATCTAGGAGGAGAGAGGACGTGTGTCTTGCTGTCCATCTGGTGCTCTCTTGGCCTCACAAATGTGTTGGTGGAGGCAGGTAAGGCTGGGATGGTGGCAGGACACAGAGGGCTGGATGCTGGCCAGCCCTGACAACCCATTGGCTCACAGAGGGGAGGGCAGGCAGCTCAGAAGTACGTTTCCTTGTGCAGGAGACAAAGGGGTGGAGTCAGAGTTAGCAACAGAAATGGGAATGGTAAGATGCCAAAGGCTGCTCAGCTATGCAGGAGTCTGAGTGTGGGGGACAGAAGTTAAAACCCTTTGGGGATTTACGGTTTTTAGCCCACTTCTCCTCCTGGGATCAGGAATTCCACAAGTTTATCTGTTCAGTTGCTTGTTAGTTTGCCTCATTATTATTTCAGCTATTCATTTGTTTTCATTGTTTCCAGCACCTACTCCATTTCTAGTTTAAATCTTGTTTCAGTACTGAGCCAGCTCTTTCCAGCTTTAAGGAACGCCCCCTTGTCTCACCCGGGAAATGGTGGTCAGTTCTGAGTTGCTCTGCCCAGACTCTTTATTGTTTTGGATACTCCGATCAGACTCACTTTCAGCCTGAAAGGTAAAGTTTTTAGAAATCTTAATTAAACCTTTGTGCTGACATACTGAAGAGAAGGGGTATATATTTTTCCTCCCTTTCAAGTTTTCTAAAGCTATGGAGTTATTTCACTTACCAAAGGATAGGAAGGAACATCTGATTTTCAGAAGTCTAAGACATTTAAACTCTTATCTTTCAGGAAGGCAAACATTTAACTTCTTTGTGGATCTTAAGGTCACACAGGCTTGGAGAAAATTCCAACTTCCCTTTAACTCCAAACCCTTGACTTGGTCCTGAGCCTTTGAGGCAAATAAGGTGATGGCGATGTTCCAAGCATATCTGAGGAATAAGGACTCCATAAATGTTGGAAACTCAGTCAGTAAGCCTTAGAAATGTAAGTGGTCTAGGGACAAAATTGTAACTGTCCTCGGAGGCTGTTAAGAGCTGCTTTCTTCAACTCCCTTTTAGTCTTAGGGTTTTCTAGGGGAAGGATGGGTGGTAAGTGGATTTATGGACCATACCTTGGGTGGATAATCAACCTTGATACTTCCAGAAGAATCCACTTACATAGCACTAGCCACTGCAAACATCCAGCCTCCTGTGTGTAGAATACAATACCGGGTTATTTTCCATACCTTTTTGGAGTATGTATTTTCAATTCCTATTTCCTTACTGTAAAAAAAAAAAAAAAAGACAAGTGACGGAGGTATTTTGCGGTCTGTGGATATCTGAGCTGGTTACTGCAGTGTTTGGAGCAACAGGAATGAAGCCAAGGGTTGAGTTCATACTTCAACCTGTTAGCGTTAATGTCTGACCACAAATTGTTCTCCTTATGTGACTTGCGTTGGTCACGAGGACTGACTGAGAAGTACAGCTGGCTCAGTGCACATCCATCACCCCCAGGGGGAGGTAATGCCAAGCGCATGCTGGCAGCTCATCCCAGGCAGCAACAAATGGCTTCCTTTCCGGTTGTGTTGAAAGCTGAAGGTTTTTCTGATTATGAAAAGATGCTCTTTAAATTATTGTTTGCTTTTGCTCTGATGTGAGGAGAGGGGGGAAGAAAAGTGAACCATTGCAAAGACCCTTTTCCTGCTGAGATGAAACCGAGGAGAGGCTGCAAGCTGAGAGGGCCTATGTGGTCTCTGGCTCTAGAGCCGGGGTAGCAGAAAGACACCTTCCTTTCATTATAAGGGTGATAACAGATTCAGAAAGGACGTATAAAAGCCTCCAAGGTCATGGGCTTTGTCTGAGAGGAAAGAAGAGCTAATGAAGGAAGCCACAAAGAGGTGGCAAAGGAACCAAGAAGAAATGAGTCTGTCAAGAGCAATTTACCATCTGCTTTTGTTATGCACAAGACAATTAGGTGACATCTAAGGCTGCGTCCTTCAAGGGCAGTCGTAAACAAACAGAGTTTCTTCTGGCGTCTGTAGTAGGTTCACAGATGAATTTGGTCAGTGTCTTATTTGCAACTCAGCTGGTAAACGATGAGCCTGGTCTGGCGCTTTGCTCTCTGGGCTTTGAGGAATTTGTGAAGATAATTGGTAAACTGAAGAATGATGTTCAGAGAATAGTTGGTGACAGCTGAGGCAAAACGTCTCTGGGGAATCTGAGACTCACCCTGAGCAAATCCACACATTTGATTTTGGTGTGTCTGTTCCAAGGGGAGCTGACCCAAGGGACTGACCCACAGTAACCCAATGTATAAGAGGCAGATGCAAAAGCCCAAGTGACAATTCATTAATTTGCAGCAAGAAACATAACCGTTGACATACTGTGTCAACTGGTCAGCATGTGGACTCTGCATGGATGGGAAACTTCAGTGCCCATGGGGCCAGGCAGGTAAAGAGATGAACTGACCAGCTGTGAGGTGAAAAGGAGGCATGGAAGTTATGCTGACCAGGGGAATCTATTCTCTTTCTAAAATATGCAGCCTGTATGATCTCCACCCAATTGTTGCTGTTCAGGGGGTGATGTGTCCAGAACTTCTGATTTCTTAGAAGTTGAGATCCAGAGTTATACATTTCCTGATTTATAAATATTAGAATTAATTTTTTAAAGTTTTAAAAACCATTGTCCAAGCAAAACATGCCTACACACTTCTCATTTGCAACTGCTCCTTATATTATAACCAGAAGGCTGCTTTGAGAGCTGACTTCAGGACAAGGGAGTTAGTTGGTGGAGCTCAGTGTTCAGCGTCATCAAACTGTAAAATCTCGATGTATCTGTCTCTGTTCTGCACCTACTGGGAAGGGTTGGAATCTCCTCTGGTCCAGATACACAGTCACATCTGCCTTGGCGTCAAAGGTTTCATTAAAACCATCCCCCACCCTTCCCCCCAACGAGCAACACTTTCTGTACACTCTGGTGTTTGCCAGCTAAGACTCTACCTTTTGGTATATTTTCTTGGATGGCAGTCTCACTCCCTGGTTAGATTTTACCAATCCCCTGCTTGGACCTAAGGATTCAGGGGCACTTTGTCCAAGTGGATACACAATCTTATCCATTAGGAATTGATTTTTCTTGTTTAATTTTCCAAAGGAAACAATGACAATATTAATAGCCTTCCTTCATTCAGCCAGTGTTATCGAGCTCGTGCCCTGAACCGGACACTGAGCTGGGCGTCAGGTTGCATTAGCAAACAAGAGAGAACTCAACGACCTCACATTCTAAACATTGACAACATTTATCAAGATCTTCCAACGCACCAGGCTCTGTGGGAGACATTTTATGTAATTATCTCATTCAGTCTTCAGGCCAACTCTAAAGCCAGTATTATAATTATTTCTATTTTATGGTTAAGAAATTGTGGCTAATCAAAATCTACTGACCCCACCTCCACTATCCAGAGAGGCACCACGAGTCCCCATCTGCCAACCTCAGTGTCACCCTAGGGACTGATGACTCAGCTCTTTCCCCCATAATGCTGTCCTGGGACTGGACTTGGTGGGTGGGAGGTGGGCTGGCTTTTCTGATGAGAATTCCACCCATGTGTTGAAGGCCTTCCCAATTCAAGGGTCCTTAATAATCATTTAAAAGAGATACCATTTTCTGGGTGCTTACTTTGTGCTAGGCTCCATGCTGAGCATTTTGCATGTGTTAATTAAATCTTCAAAGCTATTATACAAAGTAGGTAGTATTGTACCATTTTTTTTTTACAGATGACACTCCGAGAAGTCAATAACCTGTCCAAAGTTACACAGAGGGTCACTGCACATCCTGGGGCGGGACACTGACAT